AACTTTAAAAATGTATCTTTAAAGGAGTAGGAAAAAAAACTTTAAAAATGTATTTTTAAAGGAGTAGGAAAAAAAAGTCATAGCAATTTTCTTTGAATAAAAAATTATAACAACTCCATTTTATGTTTAGCTTATATGATATTTATTTTAATTAGAAACTAAAATTAGGAAAACATATTTTTGCAACAATGACACTTTTTTGAAAAACAAAACATACATATAACATACAACTTACAACACAATATCATAAAAAAAAATTAATGTTATATTATAAATAAATAAAAATGGTTGACAAAAAAAAAAAAAAAAAAAATAAAAATGACACATGTCAGAAGCATATAGCAAAACATGTCGCATTGTGAGGCAAAGTTAAGAAGAAAACTTGTCTTATTATATAAGATTTTATATATAGTATTTTATTCAACCATTTATATTATAAGGAAGATATTAGGCACAAAAATTTATGTTATATATTAATATTATTGTTAATATATACATCAGAATGATGTCTAGGTTGTCCCATCGTGTATACTTCGCGTTATATGGTATTGAGCGTGAATGCATTCTTGCGTTTGTCAAATTGTATATCATTTACTCTTAAAGATAATACTAACACAAAATGTCGATGATATGATATCACCGATTTTTTTTGGAATATGTGAATTGAAGGATATGTATCGCCAATAATAATAATAAATATTTGTAAAATAAAATCACCATTTTTCTTTAATTTAGTTTATTTAAATTAGTCATTATGCTTATATGAAGACTTTGTGTTATTAAAAAGTTACAACTTACCTCAACATTTTGCCGATCAAAGTTCAATAATCATTACACTGCGTATTAACATATAGAAAACAAATACAGTACTATATATGCCTATATGATATTACGTTTAAATATATATACACTATTATTAATGATTACAACTAAATGAGATTATCTACAAGTGCACTCACTCACACAAGAGGCGGCTATTATATTGCATAATTTATATAGATTCGTTGGTGATGTGTAATGTAAAGACGAATAATAGGGTTGGTGCTTTGTCTTTTTGTAAATGAAACCTAACAAATGAAAGAATAAGTAAGCAAAGGAAAAGACACTTTGCATTATGATCAAATGTAACTTTAAGAAAAAAGATTCGAAGTCTCTAGTTGAGCTGTGGGGATAGAAGTTGTAAGCCTTTAACGTGACCACGTTGGTCCTACCCCTTTAAAATCGAAGAATAGGCGGAGACGTGTTTCGTGTTATTAGTCAACCAGTCAAACGTCCGACGCAGACACAACACAACAAGAGAGAAGGCATAATTACTATTTATTGATCGCATTATGAAACACGTTAGAATCGATCTATCGAATAATTTACTTATGTCCATAAGCACCATAGAGCTTTATAAAATTATTAGGCAGTGTATCGAATGTTCGGAGTTATATTCTTCTTTAGGATATAAGTTGAATTTGTTGATTTAACGGTGCATTCAATTTTCTTATATAGAGACAAGTTGGGCATCGAAGAACTGTATAGGTGGCTATGACTTAGGAGCGTAGGAGTAGGTAACATATTTTAATACTCCAAGTCTCCAATACCGAAAGATCGATGAAGTAAAACAAAAGACTTAAAATCTAAAACTGAGTGCATGTAATTTTTTATAATGGTACATGTTTATTTGTTGTAATTGTTTTAAGGATCCATATCCTGATCCAACCAAACACATATACATGTGTACATACATAACTTAATCATCAATAATTACTAGTAGAAAATCCAAAAAAACTATCGAGCAAAACATGTAACACTTAACTACATTAACCAGAAAAAATAATATATGTATCCCAAAGGCCAAAAGTACAAAACTCGTTGATTATTATCGTTTTCAACTTTGTACGTATTAATGATATTAGGAACCCATAAGTTCCAAGATTAACCTTCCAAGGATATAAGAATTAGCATCAATCTCCAAAGTTGCTTGTGTACATTCCATAATCTTTTTTACAGATCAATTCCAGTCGCTTTCAACGCTCTTGTAATATTTTTCCACGAGATATCCAATATTTGATTGTTCAGCTGTTCACATCAGATAATTTTCTTCAAACTACAATTAATATATAATTGTAAAATGTCGGGAAAATTTGTTGTAAGAAGAACTTTTAAACACCGACATCAGAGTATGAAAATAAGCATCGATATGACCACGAACCTTACTAGATCTTTCCACGTGGGAAACATTAAACCGTAAATGCCGACCTGCCAAGTTTTTCTTCGAAGACAATAAACCACGTATAATAAAGATTGGACCATGCATAATATTGCATAGACTCTTCTTCATCTTTTTTAACTCTACCAAACCCCCAACGGTAAAATGACACGTGTAACTCAACAATTTTGTTTCTTGCAGAAATTTCATTGATATACAAAAAATTGCAATCGAAGAATAAGCTTAGAAGAACATATGCACATGGGCCATGTTCTTCTTTCGACTAAACTAATAACTAGACTCCACAATTAACACTACAAATGATGCATTGTCTTTTTAACGGAATCAATCATGAGGGAAACTTCCATTATCGCAAACAAATATAAAACTTTAATAAATTTGATTCGCCAGAGTAAACAAAACCTCACTAAATGTTAAAAAGTCACTTCCACATTTTTGTCTTCCAACATACAATACCGAAACACATTACACAAAGTTACTACATAATTACAGAAAAAAAAAACGGTAAGAATTAAGATAACTACTTTTAATAAGAAGCTACAAGAGTGTAAATGTAACAATAAATATACGAATAGGTTTGGTCTCTCTCAAGTCTCAAGACCATATAGACTATAGTTTTTATACACAACGGATATAAAACGCGCATACATACATTTGCCTTTTTACACACAACTTATAATATAAATATACACAACCATCTCTCTCTTACACATTTTTTTTCCTCTCATCCTATCATCATCACTAGTCACGACCACACACCACAGAAAAGGAGAATAAATCATTTTAGAGAGAGAGAGAGAGAGAGAGAGAGATAAAGGTACACCAGTGGCACACTCGTAAATAAAAGAATGTCTAAAGATTGCGGTAACCACGGTGGTGGCAAAGAAGCAGCCGTCCGGAGACTCTGCGCCGCCGTAATCGCCTTCATCCTTATAGTTCTCATCACCATCTTCCTAGTATGGGTCATACTCAGGCCAACAAAGCCAAGATTCGTCCTCCAAGACGCCACCGTCTACGCCTTCAACCTCTCGCAACCAAACCTCCTCACTTCCAACTTCCAAGTCACACTCGCGTCTCGTAACCCTAACTCCAAGATCGGAATCTACTACGACCGCCTCCACGTCTACGCCACGTACAGGAACCAGCAGATCACTCTACGCACGGCGATCCCTCCGACGTACCAAGGCCACAAAGACGACAACATCTGGTCGCCTTTCATCTACGGAACCGCCGTACCCATCGCCCCGTACAACTCCGTGGCTTTGGGAAACGAGCAAGGCAGTGGATTCGTACCGTTGGTGATACGCGCCGACGGGCGCGTGAGGTGGAAAGTGGGAACGTTGATCACCGGAAAATATCATATCCATGTTCGTTGTCAAGCTCCCATCAATCTTGGAAACAAAGCCGCTGGTGTTCTTGTCGGTGATAACGCCGTTAAGTACGCCTTGGCTTATAAATGCAGTGTGAACGTTTAGAAAGTTTGACGGCGTTAAGTTGCTTCTTCTTCTTCTCTCTTTTTTTTTTTTTTTTTCTTATCTATGATCAATCATTTTCTTGAAATTTACCAACCAAACTTCGTCCCACCAGCAGGATATATTATTTCTCTGTTTCTATATTAGTACATCTTTTAAAAGAAATTTCACTACTTTTGGTTGTTATTAAGCTTATTGTTGATTAAAGAAGAATTATTACAATCACAAAGGTCTGTGGTTGGATTTAATTGTAAATCCACTAAAGTTGAAATAAAATGGATAGATTTGGTTTGGTTCTTTTGAATTCCGATATATATTTTTTTTTGTTGCCTTAGTAAATTTTACTACTTGATTGTACTCAACGCAAGAACAAGGCCGCATACCAGCTGCTTCATATTTTTTTTTTTCTATTGTGTTTGTGTAGTTATAAATATCTAAAGGGTCTTAACTTAAATTTCTTCAAGTTTTGAAAAGCAATAGGAAGAGGAATATATTTCGTCGGTAGGGGGAAATGATTCGTGTGAAATATAACTTACGAAATCAAAATGAATTATTCTGCCAGGAGAGCCCGGATATATGCCCACAATTTTGTTTTGGATAAAGTAACTTACCTATTTTAGATGTGAAAAATGCTTGAATGGTAGGAGGTGTGAAATGTAAAATGATTGAAAATGGTTTGGTGAGACTTAAACAAGTAAAAAATTAGCCAACATCCACAAAAATAATTAAAAAATTAAGTAAACACTATACAGTAGTAGTATATATATGCTATATAGGCTGTTGTATTCGCACCCGACCAGTCAATGTCATGGCCCCTATTCGAGAAGCTTGGGCCTTCGAATTTCGTTTTCGGGCCCGTAGTTTTGTTAGATTTTAGTTGCACTGATGAATCCTAATTCGATATTTTTACTCTTTTTGATTTTGAAATCCCTTGGTGGAACGAAGGTTTTACTTAGACCACTATGCTTGTGGCACAAAATACTATCAAGAGTACAGGGATGAAAGGTAAGTTTAGTTCTATCCATATTGTGTGGTCTAGAACATACAGTTTATATCCGTTCTGAATGTTTCGATTGTAGTCTTTAGTTCTGTATCATTTCCATTCTCTGTGTTTGATAACTTTCCTCTTTTGTTGGTTTCAAACCGAAACGACCAAAGTTGCATGAGAGAAACAAAAAGAAAAGAACATAACCAAAATATCCTAAATCGGTAAATCCATTTGTTACAGATTTACAATAAGATTTCGGTTCGGTTTAAAATTTGGTTGAATACTCATTACGAAACCAAACAAACCGTATTGAGTATTGACACCGTATCTTTGACCGGGTCAATGTTTTGCTAATCGAAGAAAGAGAGAAAGAGATCAAACCTATCTCAGCCGTACAAAATCTCCTCACGTATCGTCTTAGAGAGATCATCACGGATAGGAGAAGGCGACGGCGTGTAAAACGGCGGCGAAGCGCAAGGAGTTGAAAACGGTGTCGTTCCGTCGTGATTATAGTCGCTAAAGTCAACCTCGTCGTCGCTTCCATCCGTCAGGATAATCTCCTCTACCACTTCATCCTCCTTCGCAAGATCCTCCGTAGAGATGTTTCCACGTGCTTCAGTTTCAACCGTCCGATGATCGGACTCGCTCGTACAGTCTTCAGCGATGGTAAACAGAGACTCCGAAGGTCCGCTAAGTATATTTTCTCCCGTTGACCACTTCGACGACGTCACGTCATTAACCGGCGGTGCGGCTGGAGGGAGCGGCGGAGCTGTGGCTGTACCGCCTATTCGGAGCTGTTTGTTCTCGAGGCAGAAGAGGAAGAAGTAAAGAAGCTCTTTGGACGGCGGTGGTGTAGCCGTGGGATCACCTCCACGGGAGGAGAAAACGTCGAGTTCTGAACCGGCGATACTCCGACGACGAAACCTTCGTTTCCACCACAAAACGTAGGCGAGCTGTGCCGTTACAGCGACGAGACAAAACGCGAACACAGCGACGAGTACTGCTGCGGTTTGGCTTAGACCCATTTCCACGAGAGACAGAGAGAGTTGTGTGAGAGAGTAAACCTTAAAACTGCATCGTTTCGTTTGTCTTAATTATGGATATTTTGTTTTGTGTGTTTAGTAGATAAGCACAGAAACTGGAGAAGGGTAGTTGAATTGTCCTAATCGGAAAAGAGTTGCTGAGTAGGTTCCGGTTAGAAAAGATCATTAATAGTCAAGTCGCGATTGAAAGTGAAGGTGTACAAATGTACATGACTTTACTATTTGTAGTTCTAAATTTTCTTTAGCTTTGTTGTTGACCCAAGACAAATCTATAGGTTTCTTGAATAGTAGTGATGATGCTTCTTCACTCGTGAAAAAGTCACGTTGAATAAAGCTAGGTGACTTGACTTTATTATTATTGCAATCAGAGCTTTGGGCCATTATATTATCAACCAACATGTATTAACGGGCCAATATAGTCTACTACTGGTAGGGTTTATGATTACGTCGAATTAATATTTCATTTATCCATATCAGGTTCATTCACTTTTGCCTCAATTTCAAAGATGGATCACAACGTTTTCAATTCACTTCACTCTTCTTGAAGATTTATGCAATTGAACTCACAGATATTTCCTTGAAATGACCACTTTTGTAAAGACATGGATTTGGGCCATGAAGTTCTCAAAGTCGTTTCTGCCAACACCACTCAGTTTAATAAAACTGAACCTCTATAGTGGATTCATGTGTTTGCTTACATTCTAATAAAATAACTCGTACGTACTCACTCTTGTTTTTAAAAAAAAAATTAATAACCAAAGAAGAAAAGGCTTACAAGAGAGGAGAAAAAGTTAGTTTGTTTTTATTGCTTTTTCAAAAAGATAAAAAAGCGAATTATGTGTTTGAGATCAAAGTTTAGGTCTATAATTACTAAATGCCCATCACAAGACACTCTTAAAAGCTTAAAAAGCAGAGAGATAGAATTTAGCTTTTTTACTCTTTCTCTCTTTTTTCCTCTCTTCTGCTTTAAAAGGGTCACCCACTTTCTGCAATTCTTTGTAAATTAATTAATTGTATACTTTTTTTTCCAAAATCATGCTTAGCTTTATCTTCCCCTTCCTGCTTTTGAGGATACAAAACTTTAGATTCCATGCATGAATTGATGGACATATCTACACGCATTCATATTATATGCCTTCATCTATATTTTGCAAAATATATCTATGTGTATATATATCGTTCTGCTTACACAAGGGAGTTTTCCTTCAAGTGGTATGATTTACATAATTTATAAATCATAAAATGTGTATCATCTTCTTTTCTTAAGAATCAAGATGAAGTTCGTTGAAGTATCTAAATAAGCTTTTTTGCATGCATATATAAAATAGTTTTTTCTTAAGATCGAATACATGTTTTTTAATATTAACATAAACAACTCGTTTTTCATATACGAATATTGTTCAAAGTAACCGCTCTTTTTCCACCCTAGCTACCACACAACATACCCAAGCTTTATATCTTATATTTAAAACCAAAGCAAAGCGCTACATTGTGAAAGGAGAATCATTCACAAAAGTGATCCACACATATTCTAAGTCCCGATCCAGGGGATGTACTGTGTAGTGTTTACATACATAACATCAATAATACCTATAACTTGTGAGCTTTAAATGAAAGCTAAACTCGAAAAGGCAAAAGAGAGAATTAGAGAAAAAGGAGTTTCAGATTCTAAGGTGGTGGCTTCTTCCTTTCTCTCGGGAGAAAATAAAAGAAAAAGATGAAATGAAACAGAGCGGCAATAAAGTTTGTGGAGATCTTTAATATCAATCGAGCTGTCTTGGATTCTAAAGGAAACAATGACCAAATTTGTATGCTTTATCTTTAGGCAGATTAAGGGATAACTATTGTTTGTCTACTCTACAATCCGTCGGTTTCATATTAGACGATGGTTTGGTGAAATGAGGACTTATTAAAGTATTTAAAACGCTAATCAAATATCTCCATGTCTTTAGTTAAAGAACAGATGGTTGTAGGGATTATGAAACAAATAAATTATTATCAAAAATGCGATTATAATTAACATGCTAACGAATTTTTTGTAAAGAGATTATAAGAATTGTTTATGATAAAATGTAATTGGGTATTAGGTAAAATGATATAGAGAAATAGCACCGCATGTCCTTTCTTCTAGCTTAAGCGTTCTTTCTTCTAGCTTAAGACTAGTTTTGTAAACTACTGTGAAGCAAACCAAAGTTTTTAATTAAATCCGACTTTTGTTTTATTTAATGTTCAAATCCATAAATATAAATATGTTCAAAATTTCAGACTTTTATTTTGGGATATTCCTTTATTTTGTGTTAAACCTTTCTAGAAGGATATGGGGTCGGAGAAACTTCAGTTTAAACATTAAGTTTTCAAATGATCGAGGAATATCCCAAAATTAAATTGAAAATATCAAATGCATGGTTAAAGATATATATACATGTAGGTGTGAATAACAGAATAAGTCATGTTTAAGTATTTCTTTTTTCCTTTTCAGTGAATACAATTTATTCAGTTTTATATGAACGAAAATACAAGTCACTTGATGTATTCACAAAATCTTTTTATAACTCTTGTATACTACTACGTTAGATTAATTCACTTTATTTTGTTTTGCTTTTTTTTTTTGTTGACCAGCTATTTCCATCACATTTTCATGAACATAATTAAATGACCATTTACGAACATAATATGATAATTTTACATTGCGGAAGAAGAAAAACAGATGAAAAAGGGAAAAAACTCAAGTTTCTCCGACCCCTTATCCTTCTAGAAAGGTCCTAAGCAAACATAAAAAATCTACAACTACACGTTTAGCCCAAAGTATTGTCCCAACCCAATGCAAGAGTTTTCCGTAAGAGAAACAAATATCGCTACCATAAACCATGTAATGCCAATGAGATCATACATGCATGCATGCATGATTACTACGTTGGTGATGACTTGAATTGAAACCGTGCATCCACCGCTTCGAGTAAGCCAATCTCATCACATGATTCTTCTTCACCAACGTCATCGTCAATAGATAGGTTGAGATCGAGTGCGACACAAGTAGCAACGTTCTTATCCTCAGATTGTTCTGAACTGTCCGATTTCTTATCAACAGGAGGAGAACAAGCTCTTGATCTTGAGCTAAACCTTTCACAACTCAAGATCACGATCGCGTCTCTAAGCGAAGCTTCGTCCCCACTTGCATTACGAACTCTTCCTCTCTCGATAGCTCTTTTGAAACCCACTTGAGACAAATAGTCAGCTTGCTCTATATCCTCCACTAAGAACACTCTTTTTGGATCAAACGAGACAGCTTCAGAGAATCTTTCTATGTAACTCCAGCTTTGTTCATCTCTCGACCTCTTGTTCCTCAAATCTTCTGCGTAATCCGATCTTGTTGAAGAGAAACTGCTTAAGCAGATTGAGACGAAGCTGTCTTGAGAACCGAACACGAGTTTGGCCAATTCTCTAGCGATCTTTTCTTTGGCATCTACATCAAGACCTTGGAAGAACATCCATGTATCTTCTTTTATATCATCGTTTCCGTTGATCTTCCTCGTACTCGATCCTGACCTGCATTTCAAGATTGTTTTCGCTAACTCCGGGACTATATCCTTTTGCCACGGTACCTTTTTCTCCAAGGCATCACATAGAGTTGCTAGGTTTTCTGCATTCATCTCTTTAAACCTGGGAGAGGCATGTTCCACCTCCATTGCATCGCTTGAAGAGGCAGCAGAGTTGATAGCTGAACTAGGATTCGAACAGGAAAGCTCTGTTTTCTGCTCGCTGTCATGTTCTGGAATGAACAGTCTTAAGTGAGATGTCTCAGGGACCACGGAATGATGACGATGCGTGTTTGTCTCGATCACGGGCCAGTCACCGTTGGTTTGAAGATGATGATGCATAATACTCGAAGGTTGAATGGAACCAGAAAAGGAAGAAGTAGGAGAAGAGAGTGAGAGAGTTTTTAGAGATGGTCTCTTGTGGATTGAAACGCAGATTGAGTTCCACTTCGCCACAAGTTCCTTGATAGACTCTGAATCCTACCAAGTCCAAGAATAAAAATTTAGACGCTATATGCAAATGGAAATGAGAAAATGAAATTGATTTGATGATGTTTATACAACTTACAGTGTTGCTATTTTGATTCTCCTTCTTGTACTGCTGAAGCCACGCCGGTAAAGCTGCAGTGGTTACATTGCTATTGCTATTGCTGCACTTTAAGAGTCGAGCTTCCGCCTCAAACTTGACCGAACATTCCTCACAGAAACTGAGTTGAACCGATGGCTGCAGCTGCAGTGACACGTTCTCTGACTTCTTAACTTCAACCTCACTGATTAAAAAACAAAAAATGTTGGTTAATTAATCAAGGAGTGTTGAAATTGATTTAGTCTTCAACATGAACGAAAATGAAGTAACTTATTATATGTGTATATAATAAAAAATATAAAACTTTTCTTCAGCATTTTCTCCAAAAGAAAAAAGCTTATAATAAAATAGAAAATAATAGAGAAAAAAGGTAGCAAAAGATGCACGTTGGTTCACCGTTCTTTTGAGATGATCACCACATAAAAGCAAAAACACTATAGGTAAAATTGTCCTTTTCGGAAAAAGAGACAAAATAGTTAGAACATATCCAACAAATATTAAAAATAAATAAATAACGTTACACATTATTTGACTAATCTCAAAAGGAGAAGACTTTTTACCTATCGGAGACGAGACTCAAGCGGAGGCTACTAGTAGTTGCCGGAATAGTAAGACTAGTGAGACACCAGAGGGACTCAAGCGAGGGTTGACCAGACTTGCATCTCACGTAAGTTTGTGAAGTCGCAAGACCCATCAACCAAAACCTCCCGTGATCTCCCATGACTAACCCTCGAGCCAACTTCCCAATCTCCATTATCATATGCTCCACAACACAGTAGTTGCTGTTATTGTTGTTATATACAGAATAAGAACCTCTGGTTCGTGATTCTACGAACCAGTTTAGATCTCCCAGATTTAGAATCACTCCTTTCCCTACACAGCTCCTCACCAGTGTCTCTAGCTCCTCTAGCTTATGTTCCACATCGGCTCTACTCGGTTGCCCGAACGATGAGAACGATAAAGTTATAAACTTTACGTCTTTTAATGCCTCGGGCACTTCTTTTTTGTCGACTTTCTCCATCACTGTTTTCACAACTCCGTCGACAGTGGCTAAGCACTCTCCAACGATCACGAAATTTCTTCTCTTTTTGTCGACTAGACTGTTGATAACGTTCATGACATCCTCGTTCCTGACAGGAGTCAACAGCTTTCCC